TCTAGATAAGTGGATTCACGCGGAACGGGCGTTTGACACGCTCCGTAACAAGATCGCGACTACATCCATGATGAAACATTTCGACGCCGATAAACAGCCGGTGGTGATCGTGTACGCGAGTGACTGGGCAGTGCCGTCCTGTCCGGGCTAAGACCACGACGGGGTATACCGCCGGTCAAGTTCACTAGTCGGACGTTGAAGCCCAACGAGTTGAACTATAGCATCGCGGAGAAAGAAATCCTGGCACTATTACGCGTCCTGAATGAATGTCACAACATGCTGGCGGGAAGGACGATCCGTGTCCTAACCCGACACACGACTCTCGGGTGGCTCTTCCGCTCCAAGGGTCTTCAGTGACGACTCTCGCAATGAGCGGCAATCATCTCACCGTGGAGGTTGGAGATTCTCCGATCCGTAAAAGGAGAGGAGGAAATCCTAGGCGCATTGGCCGCGAGCATCACGCCGAGAGTTTACATCGACGCTGCGCTAGAGGAGATCACACCACGAAAACGCTCGTCTAGGACGGCCCGATCCCAGTTCCGAAGATCGGACCGGCCGAAAGCCTGCACGTGATTCTTCAATGGATCGGCTCGCGTCAAACGCGAGGGGGGAGCATTCAGTGCCGTAATATGGAAACTACCGAACTGGGACGTGGTTCGAGCTGCATCGGGATACGTGGAAGGGCTCACCGTGAACGAGGCCGAATATCGGGGCAAGCTGCTCGGTATCTCGCTGTTGGACGACCTCGATGTTGCGCGACTGATCGTCTGTGGGGACTCCAATATGGTAATACGCCAGATGCGGGGCGAGATAGACTGCAAGTCGCCCGGGTTGAAGCTGCTGAGAGCGCAGGCATGGAATGCACTGAGAGGATGGCCCCGGCATGAATTCCTCCACATCAAGCGGGACTGGAACGCGAGCGCAGATATGTTGGCTGGGCAAGCTCTCCAACGCCAACAAGACAACAATTCCTATAACGTGGGAGAGTTGGAGGATCTGAGGATCTTGAACCGGTTGGGAGAAGTGGTGCGCCTGACGACGCACGATGCGGTAGGCGGCGATCACGTCTTGAAGGCTGAGACGCGCGGCCTAGACGACCTCGTTTTGGAAGCTAAGACGCGCGATCTAGATGACGCAGGACGTGGGACAAAAAAAGTTTGTCCCGTGATCACGCGCTCGCGGGACGCGGCAAATCCAGCGCCGAGTAGACCACCGGAAGTCCTGAAAGAGCTCGAGGTACTTGATCGAGTATGCACTGCGCAGGAAGAGGAGGCTTGGATCGCCAACCTCAAGAAGTTCTTAGGCAAAGACATCAGCGGATTGTCCAGACGCGAAGCGAAGAACTGCGCCAAGATAGCGGAACGGTACGAAGTCAGGGAGAGCGGTTTACTGTACTACCACGTACGTGGGAGCGAGACCGCCGAGAATCGGGATACGATCATGAAGCTTGTCGTTCCAGAGACTCTCCGAGAAGACGTATTGCACCACTACCACGCGAGTTTGGAAGGCGAACATCAGGTTATCGGCAGGACGTATCAGCGGATACGACGACATTTCCATTGGCCCGGTTGTTCAAGAGCGTGCAGCGCCACGTTGGGGAATGCGTCGACTGTGAGACGGGAAAAGGCCGTCCCACAATCAGGGGGGAGTCGCCGGGCAACATAGTTGCGACATGTTCCAAGTCGTGGCGATGGACCATATCCCGTCACTACCGGCATCGCACAACGGCAATACGGAGCTCCTGGTCTGGGTAGACGTCTTCATAGGTTTTGTGATCGCAAAGGCAAGCGCGTCTCGAACGGCTCAGACTGTCGCGGAATCGTACGGGGAAGCCGTCTACAGACGATTTGGCGCCAGCGAAGCGATTCGTCACGACCGCGGCCAGGCTTCATGTCGGATTTTTTCAGGGCCTTCAACAAGCTGATGGGCCAGCGGCAACGTGCGACGCTCGCATACCGTCCGCAAGCAAACGGGGCAGCAGAACGCATGGTGCAGACCATTACGAGAGCCATCAAGATGTACATTGCCGTTATAGATCAACGTGACTGGGACCAATACGCTGAACGACTGACGTACGCGCTTATCACAGCTCACGATCGAACAAGGAACGAGACCCCGTTTTTTCTCGTGCACGGTTGGGATCCGCGGTCTACGGTGGAAGCGACGTTAGCCGTGGGGAACACTTCGCATCGGGACGCAGACGCTCGTCGGTGGAGGATTCGTATTCAACGCCACTACCAGATAGCACGCGCGCAATCCCTGGAACTGGTCC